ACAGGGAGACCCTGAATCCCAGAGACAGAAGGCCAACAGGCAGGCCCAAGACAAGCAGCTTGGCTTGAGCTCAAGAGCTAGGACTCCCATCCAGATTGCTAGGGGGAAAAAGGGGGCCTCCAGCCTTCAAAAACCAATAGCCAGCCTTCAGAAACCAAATCCGGTTCCTGCACTCCCTGAGAAAGAAGGAGCAACAGGGAGACACTGCGATCCCAGAGATATAAGGTAAGAGCTGTTGGCCCATGTGTGCTGACACCATTCTGCCATTCAACCATCTAGGACCAACTGGCAGGCCCAAAGTCAAGTGCTTAAGTTCATCAGCAAGGACTGCCCAACCTGCTGGAGGGGAGGAAGGGCTCCTAGCCCATGCAGTGAGCAAGTGCACCACGTGAATTAGTTAGTCTATCACCTTACTTTCTGTCAGTGCAACCTCCATCCATATTTGGCACAGTTAGGTTTGGGTATACAAGAACCAAATACCTGAAAGTAGGAGTCCCTGGAAGAATTCTTTCTCTATAACTCCCTTGACAGTAAAAGGAGAGAAACTCCCCTCTGAATAGCTAAACCCTAAACTCCTACTGTGGGTTCCACACTCTCACCCACATTAGAGGTGGGGAATTAGTACAGATCTTACGCATATCATAGTGAAGTAAAGGAGCACACAGCTACTGAAACATACTCCAAAAAAGTAAGAAGTGAGTATACTACCAGATGACTAAAAATCAAAGCAAAGCCCAAAGAAATGAGAAAATCAGGAAATAACCCCCCCAAAAGGATCATACTTCTCACCAATTATGGGTAAAATACGAGAGATTTCAGAAATTTCAGAAAAATAATTCAGAATATTCACTGCAAAAATATTCAACAACATGCAAGAGAAAACAGAGAACCAACTGCGGGAGATAAGAAAATCCTTTCATGACATGATGGAGGAACTCCAAAAGGAGACAGACAAACTGAAAAAGAATCTAACAAAGGAACTTCAGGAGACAAAGAATACATTGCAGGAAATCAAAACCTCTTTTGAAAGTATCAACAGCAGATGAGACTATGCAGAAGAATTGCTGACCCTGAACACAAAACTTCTGATGCAGTCGAAGTAACTGAAAAGAACAGAAGAATAATCACTGAAAATGAGGACAAAATACAGGAAATCCTGGACACCACTAAATGGCCATATATCTGCATAACAGGTATTCCAGAAGATGAAAAGACAGGTAAAGGCACAGAAAGCACCTTTCACCTTTCATAATACTTTAATTGGAAACCTTCCAAATTGAGAGGCTGCAGACATCCAAATCCAGGAGATATAGACACCAAATAGTTATAAGCAGATCCTCCTCTCCAAGGGATATCACAACCAATTGGTAAAAATTATAGATAAAAATTCTAAAAATGGTAAGAGAGAAACACAAAGTTACTTACAAAGGCTCCCCCATTAGACTAACATCAGATCTCCCAGCCAAAATAACACAGGCAAGAAAAGAATGGGATGACATATTTAATATTCTGAAGGAAAAGTAATTTCAGCAAAGAGTACTATACCCAGCAAGATTATCCTTCAAATGGGTAGGGGAAATAAAATCATTCCCAGGTAAACAAATACTGAAAGAATCCACCAAAATTAAACCAGCTCTTCAGGAAATAACAATTTTTAAGGGACTACTATATCAGGAAAGCTAAAGTGGGACAAATAGAAGAGAACACAAAACAACTAGAAAAAAGGTTAAGTCCACACATTAATGGCTAACACTGAATGTCAGGACTAAATGTAGATTCAAACAGTTTTACACATGAACAGGTTTAATACAAATCCACCAATTATTTGATAGACAGCTGTCTCCCTAGAGATATATATACATATATACATATATATATATAATCATTACCTATTGTATAGAGCTAGATAATAGAGAAAAAGTACAAAATGTTACAATAGAGTCTTTCTTTGAACTGAATTTAAAAATAAATAAGCTAAATCAAGAACTTTGTGAATTCTATAAACCACCAAATCACTGGCTTTACCATGTCTTCACTTCTAAACATCTCTTTACAATTTTATCTTTTGTTGCAGACTTACTTTATGCACAGTACAGTACAGAAGAACTGTGTGAGTAAAAGTGTTCTGTTTCTTTCTCTTCCTAACACGCCATTATGCACAATTTTACTTATCTCTAGCTGAACCAACGATTGATATCCACATATTTTTCAGATTATACTCTTTTTTAAGAAAAAATAATTGCTAGAGGCCGTGTGTGCTTGCTGGAGAGAGTCAAAGAGAAAGTGAGAAAGCATCCCCTGTGGGGGATGGTCATGCTGCAATCCCTTCTCCTTTACTTTTCTCCTCTTTTGGGATTTGGGGCACACATGCACATGTACCTGGTGTGTTTTTCAAGTTGTCAGGTCTGGACTCGACTGCACAGTTGGCCAGGTGGAATTCAGTCACCTTAACCACTATGTCACCGCCTGCCCCGCACCTTTCTTTTAATACTCCTGATCCCATTTAAGTTTCTAAAATCTCAAATAAGGGAAAATCTCATCTATATCTGTACCATGAGCCAGCCGGTGGGGTGGTGGTGTGATTAAGGCAACTGAATCCCACATGGCTGCCCGAACAGTTTGAGTCCTGGGCTGATGGCTTAAAAAACACACAGGTGCATGTGAGGGCATGCCCAAAATGCCCCATGAGAGGGAGAAAGACAGAAGGGATTGCAACTTGACCATCCCACAAGGGAAGGCTCTTTCTCACATTCTCTCTGTCAAGCACACAAATGTCTTGCAAAAAAAGGTCTGCATTACATGTTTATTTAACTCATAAAAATGTAACAGAAATAGAGTGCATCCAGGTACAGTCTGGACAAACAGTCAGAATAGTTGCTTCTACCCAAATTCTGTTTTTCAATATCCACTGAGATGTTCTTTCCACTCCCGGGCTTCATGTTACTTGCATTCCTCATTTCTCCCTTAGCTAGTCATTCCTGTCATTACTAACCACTGTAACTCTGTGAAATCTGAATTTTAAGCAAACTACTCTCTAAACATGCTTTTTTCATTTCTAGGTCATTTCTTCTAGTCTCTCAACTTGAATAAATGTACTTATCATCCACTGATTGTGCCACGTTTTTACCATCCCTCCCATCCTCTCATGTCCTTACTTCTCTGCTTACCCAGATTAATAACTATCATTATTTATATTATATTATGATATGTCTATTATTATAACCCTGCCCCCACTTCATGTGGTCAGTCACATACCTGGCAAAACCATAACCTTGCTTAAATTCATTTCATGCACTCTGTGCCTCCATCTTTGTGGTTTTATGCAGCAGAGGCAACCATACACTGGTCCCACTGTAAACGCATTATCTTGCATTTAGTAGGAGCCCTTCATCTTGCCCGCTGTCAATCTCCCATTCTTCTAGTTATGAACCTTCCTCCCACTCCCATCTCTCTTATTTTATATCATATCATGAGAGATGATGCTACATATTTTCCCTTGAAATCTAAAATGGAAGTCATGACTAGCCCTTCTTTTCCCAACCTACATGCTCTTTCCCAGAATCCTACCCAATTCCTCAAGCCCAAAATATCCTTGCTGATTCTCTTTGTCTCTCATTACACAAGCAATCTTTCAGTAAATCTTAACTGATTTTACCATTAGGATATAGGCATGACTCACTGACTCATGTCCCCTCTATAGCTACCACCTCAGACCAAGTCAGCATTCACTCTCAATTACATGCCCTTCCTAGTTGTTCTCCCCCCTTTCATCCCATGCCCCCACACTTCAGCCCATTTAACACAGTAGCCATTATGGTTCCTACTAAAATTACATTCCTGAGCTTTAGGAAGGGATTACTCCTATTGGACAACCATTATTTCAGACTATACTCTGAATTATTTTTGATGAACCTTTCCTTTCACATGCAAAAACTTAAAATTTGCATACATTTTCAAAATACATTCTATGCTATAAAACAGGATCAAAGTAATTGACCTTCATGGATACAAACCCATAATATTCCAAATGATTTAACTAAGCTATCAATTACAGATTCATTTAGTATTTAATTCAGAATCATTATTTTGCATATGCATTTTCTTTTTAATTGCCAGAGAGCACATGCGCTTGCCAGAGAGATACAGACAGAAAGACAGAGAGAGGAGAGATCACCCCCTAATGGATCATGTTGATTCCTTCTCCTTCATTTCTCCATCCTGTTTGAAGTATTTAATTCAGAATCATTATTTTGCATATGCATTTTCTTTTTAATTGCCAGAGAGCACAGAAAGACAGAGAGAGGAGAGATCACCCCCTAATGGATCATGTTGATTCCTTCTCCTTCATTTCTCCATCCTGTTTGAACTTCAGGCACACACATGTATGAACTTGGAGTGTTTTTCAAGTCACTTGGAGCTAAGATTCAAACTGGAGCTGGCTGGCCACATGAAATCTGGCTCCCTTAACCACTAGACCACGTGGTCAGTTCACATATGTATTTTTTTGAACAGAAAACCGATAACGTTACCCATTCATTTTTAAAGGAATCCTAACTAGCTAGAACTTGTATTTTAAAACTAAAAAAGAAGATGATACAGCCTAAAATGTCAGAACTTCATATTATGTTCTCCACGCTTTTGAAGCCCATCAGGATTTTGAAAAAGAAATTAAAGATGTTTTCATTGAGAGGATCTTAAAAAATCTATACAATTCAAGCTAATGAAATATTTTATTATACATTAATAAAAGTGGTGTTTTTTTAAAAAAACATTTCCAGGCCCAGATAGATGTCTGAAGTATGTGAGGAAAGGATTCCACTCAAGTATCATAAGTAATACTCTACTGAATGAAACCGTAAATCCACCCCACTCCTTACAGTTAATACCAGCATTCACCACAGGCTTGAAATTCCTGTAGTATCAGTAAATCTATTTTTTGAAATATTACAAACATGCTTATAATGCATAGGATGGTGAAAAAATTTAGACTATAACTGCACACCATATGTAATCCCAGCTTTTCTAATTTACAACCAGTTAAGAATTACAATATTTGAAGCAAGTATTTTAAAATAGTATATGACTCACTGGTAAGTGATTTTCTACTCAAATAAATAGGAAAATTTGCATTTTAATGATACAATGAATTTCAGTCTTTTTCAATCCAAAAAAAAAAAAAAAACTGAGACATGGTCATGAGTTCAGGATTATATATATTACAATTTGCCTTGTTATAATACATTTGTGGCTTTATGATAAAAATAACTCAGGGACATGGATTCAAGCTAATTTGCATAACCGTCACAAGAAAAAAAGCATTAAATGCATTACTGAAATAAGTATTTTCATTTAATATCAGAATCTCAAAACAACTTTAGATCTTGGCCTTGTTTAAAAAAAGTTTAGTTAAACACTAAGCTAGCTAAATAACCTTTTTGAAAGGTTTAAACACAATTGATATAGAAAATGTTTTCCCTCTAATCTCGGTCTTACATAAGTGGAAGAGGTGGGGGGAAGGTAGACAATTTCTTTAGCAGCATACGTGGCTAAATCCATCAACCACCTTAAACCATAATGTCTATTATTGACCCCATTAAAAAGAATTGGGCAAATATACAAAGTTACTCATTTCAGAAACCAAAAGACAACAATTTTAGGGTTATAGGAGGTAAAATATTTTCGAAAGCCTTCAAAAACTTTTAACCATTAAACTAGAGGAAACATCTCTTCATTGTAAGAAAGAAGGCGTAACAGAAAGTAAAATACATTTAAACTAAACTGATTTTCAATTCTCTTTGAATAAAAGAAATGAAAAATAATGGTTGATTAGCTAAGCTTTATGCTCTAACCAAACTAATTAATTACAGTGATTTTTAAATGGCAACAGCCCATCTGACTGGGCAGCTTGACAGTTCTGAATACTTTTGCAATGATTTTTTTTTTTTAACGCAAAGACACTAAAATGATCCAGTCATGCAATGTTCATCTTATGCATTCTGCATCTCTTTGCCAATCTTGTAGCTAAGGATCTTGTTCCAATCAATTTTAGTACGAGTAACCGGCAACTGTCGACGTAAGGCTTTGAAAGTAGTGTCCGACATTGTTTGATAATTCTCACTGATGGCAGTCTATAAAAAAACAGTAGTTAGAAGTTTAAACCAAATAAAAGGGACAACAATTTATAAAACACATATGTTTTTAGAACAACCTTTATTTAAGCGGCCTAATTTACTGCTTTTAAATAGTTAAATAAAAATCTCAACATAGTTTTATAAAGCTGTTCAAAGGCAGTTGAAGAAAAGCTTATAATCATTTTAAGTGATTAAATGTAATGAAATATAATTATAAATTAGATTTAATATTTGTATATTCTTGTCTTGAATCTGTTTTCCTATTTCAGCCAGAACAATTTATAAATTCTGTCCTTTGTGTGCAATTTTTTTTCTGCCAGAGAGTATGTTCTCTTGTTGGAGAGAGACAGGTAAAGTGAGAAACCACCTTCAATGGGGAATGGTCACACCACAATGTCATCTCTACTTCTCCTTCCTTCTGTGATTTCAGGCCGGCACTCAGACATCACACAGGTGGCCACAGTGATCCAGCCACCTTGAATTAACCATGATTTCATGACTGGCCCATAAATTCTGTTTTTAAGGGAGGGAGATTCATCTAATTCACAAGTTAAATGCTTAAGTTCAAGAGTAAAATTTAGAAGCTGATAAATAACCTTCAAAGTAGAACACAAAATGAAATGTGACGTAAGCAGATTACACTTAGTACAAATAGTTTAGGAAACACCTTCTAAATTAGAATTTCTAGTCAGAAACAAAATAGTAATTTAAAATCTTGAGGTTTTTTTTTTTTGGAGAGATTTTTGCTATAGGGCGCGTGCGCTCGCCAGACAGAGACATTAGAGACAGAAAGCGAGAAATCACCCCTCAGGGGGTTGGTCATGCCACAATCCCTTTTCCTCCATTCTCCTCTCGGGATCTTGGGCACGCACGCACAAGCGCCCGGCGTGAGTTTTAAGCCACCGGGTCCAGGAGCGAACCGCGGTCGACTACATGGGAGTCCAGCGACATAGCCATTACGCTACCTGCTGGTTCCCAAAATCTTGATATATTTTGACTAATACTGAGAAATTACAGTTGGCTGAAACCAAGTACTAGTAGTTTTAAAAGACAGTATCTTAACTGAGTTTAATTTACTGGCTGTTCTTTTTGACTGCACTTTTATAAGTCTGTCTCATACTAAATGCAACACATGACAAAAATATTGTATCCTGTACATTGAAACAAAAAAACTCAGGCTTATGGCTGGGACATTCAGTACCATTAACTTATAAGTAAATAAAGAGTATATAGTATTTCTGATAATCGTACCTGGTATTCATTTTCTGCAGCTTCTACAATCTTTATAAATTCTTTTGCTGTCTGCACCTCATTCTGAATAAAAAAGGAAGACCAATAGTAAATATAATAGTAACTTAAAACTAAAATAACTGTTATTTTAAAACATATGTATAATTAATGAAATCAAATTCCATAAATAATACAGATGAAAAGTATGACAAGTAAAGAAAAAAAACATATTGTAAGAACAATTATTCTAAGTTCAAGAGAAACTAGGCAAAAATAGTTTAAAAGTCTACATAATGAAACTAGTCTCAGTGTTTAACTGGCAAAGGAAAGTAAAATGATAACATGTATTTAAGAAAAATTCAATTAGAACACTTAACATGCATTCCAACAATTTTTATAGGTTAAGAAGTTAGGCACAGGTTTCTAATTAATGATTATCTTTATCTAAAATATTTACTGAATAATTATTTACCACTGTAGTAACACAAAGAAATTACCAATTACAAAGAATATATTTTAAAGAAGGACATTTAGAAGAAAAATAGAGAGGCAAAGCATTAATGGGACAAAGAAACGTGGTATTATCTGTTGAAGATAATTTTATAGTTTTATCAACTGGACTAGGGAGAAATGTTCACATGTTGAAATATTCACTTTGTAAACTAAATAACATGATTGAATGTGTAAAAGAAAATGAAATAAAAAAACAGTTTAAGGTGAATTTATGCCACTGCTTAAGTATTTTCTGGGAACAAAATTCTGACATGCCAATATATGGCTACGTTTGTGCTAAACGTGAAGTTAATGAAAATTTAGATTTTTAAAAAAATTAAAAGTAGGTGATGTCTCACATGGCCAACAGCAATTCAAGTCCTGGACCTTGTCAGATTACTTTCTTTTCTTTCCTTTTTTTTTTTTTTGGAGAGGATGTTTTTGTTATAAGGCGCGTGCACTTGCCAGAGAGACAGAAAACGAGAAATCACCCCCCAGGGATCCACAATCCCTTCTCCTCCATTCTCCTCCTGGGATCTTGGGCACTCACGCACACGCGCCTGGCATGAGTTTAAGTCACCGGGTCTGAGACTTGAATCACAGTCGACTACATGGGAGTCCAGTGACATAGCCATTATGCTAGCTGCTGGTCCCCAGATTGCTTTCTTGCTTTCTCACTTCCTCTCTCTCTCTCTCTGTCTATCTCTCTTTTTCTGTGGTGAGCACATGTGCCCTATAGCAAGTTGAGAAAAATAATAATAAATAAAATTAAATAAATCTTAAAATTTTTTTTAAAATGAAAGTGTCAATGTAAGATTCTCTAACACCTATTATATACACTTGTATTTATACAATAGAGGTGAGTTTTTTTCTCTTTCTAAAAACAAAAAAGCAATGAAAACCTAGTAAGACAAAGTGAAAAACTATTTTTCCTAAAAAAATTGAGTACTGATAGCCTAAGAGTCAAGTTTAATTACTATGACCATCTCTCACATCTTCATAGTCTGTAATTTTGTGGACGAAGCTATCTTAGGAAGAATCTTCTTTCAGTGTTAAAATCCTACAAGGAAGACAGTATACCAAGTACTTATGTTATGCAAATAGTATTACATTCCATACACAACTGAATGGAATACAATGTTTCATAGAAAACCAGACATTAGTACATTTCTTTCTGCAAGAAGAGAACTTCCACTTAGCATAAAAGTAGAAACTACCCAAGTGCTAATGAGAAATAAAACAAAAACAAAAACAAAACATCTCAGGCAGCATCTGGCCTAACACATTAAAACATTCTGCTCAAAGTTAAATGCTTTCTTGAATGAAAAATAAATATTTAATATTTGCAAATAAGCAGTTGATGTTAATAATATACTAGTACTTTCAGGTATATACAACACAAATGTTTATAGGAAAATGTTACTCTTAAGTGTTATACTATAAATGTCCTGGGGAAAAAACAAGAAAACAGTTGCATATGTAATGGAAAGAATATGTGAAAGAACTATGTGAGAAAATAAAACTAAGTTAAAAAATCCTGGAATTTGAAAGCTGAACTTAAAAACCTTCATTAAATCATAATCCAAAAAGCGAGAAGAAAGAAAACATATAACACAATTCAAAAGTTAGATACAAGATCAGAGATCTAATTTAAAGACCTAAAACTATAAACTCTTGGAAGAAAACACTAGAGTAAATCTTTATAACCTTGGGTTAGATAATAGTTTCCATTAACATACTAAACACACCAACGACAAAGGAAAACAAACTGGACATCAAAGCTACAATCTTGTTTTGCAATCTATATGACAGAATGTGAAAAGACAACATGCAAAAGGGTAAAAATATTTGCAAATCACATATCTGTTAAGACTTGTATCCAGAATATGTAAACAATTATAACTCAGTAATAAAAATTAGCAAGGATGAAGAAATAGGCAAAGGACTGAACAGACATTTTCCTGAAGAAGACATACAAACAATCAGTAAGTACATGTAAGATGCTCGATATCATGGAATCAGGAAAATGTAAATAAAAGCTACGAGGAGATGCCTGTTCATACCAACTGTCATGGCTATAATAAAAAGAAAAGTTTTAGAGAGGATGTGAACAAACTGCAGCCACTTTAGAAAATAGTCTGGCAGTTTTCTGAAAGGTTAAACAGAGTGCTAGCACATGATGCAGCAATTTCAGCTTTAGGCACATACCAAAGAGAAATTAAAACAAAGGTCTACATAAAAAATAATAATGTTAGTAGCAGCAAAAAAGTAAGTAGCAATGTCCATCAACTGATGAATGGGCAGATAAAATGTGTTACAGTCATACAATGGAATATTATTTGGCAATAAAAATAAAGGAAAGAATACAAGCTCCAACAAAGATGAAAACTGAAAACATACTAAGTGAAAGAAGCCAGTACCAAAAGACCACATTATTATATAATTTCATTTACATGAAAGGTTGTGGATGGGTAAATCCACAGTCAGAAATTGGATTGGGAATGCCTAAGGCTGAAAAGTGTACCTGGGGAGGGCTGGGAAGAAAGGGCAGTGACTACTAATGAATATTTAGGTTTGTTGTATGGAGTTTCTTATAAGGAGAAGGAAAATGTTCTAAAATTAGATAGTGGTGATTGTGGCATGACCATGTTAATATACTAAAAAACAATGATATTTTTACACTTACAATGTGTGGATTGAATGGTATGTGAATTATACCTTAATAAAGATGCCAAAAAAATTATGTGCAGATTTGTAATTATTGCCATCTGTAATCTATTTAGAAACACTTTAATCTGAAGCAGAAATAAATTAAAATTTTAATTCCAAAACTGTTCTGGTTTTACAGAAGTATTAGACTGTTCAAATTTTATTGTGAAATTACTTACAGACACTGTTAGGGAATCTTGTATATCTTTATGACTCACTAGCTGAACATTACCATCTTCATAATAATGAACCTATTAGGAAAAGAACAGAAGCCACATTACAGAAGCCTCAAGAACCTCATGCCTTCAACAATCGTATCAGTGTGGATGACTACCAATTTTATCTCTGGTCTTGACTTGTCTACTGCACTCCAGGCCTTTCAAACCCTAGCGAGACTCTTTCTGCTCTGTCTAGTTTCTGCAATAATTCAGACAAGCCCACCAGTAACCTGATTGATGGACACTTTTTCCACAAAGCTATTCTATTAGTACCTAAATCCAAAATGTCTAAATTGAGCTTACAACAGTCTCACACAACTACGACTCCTCTGTTGTGTATTTCCATCAATTGTTTAATTCCCCAAATTCATAAACATGAATTTATTCAGCAAACATCGAGTGATTATTATAAATAGTGACATCTTATAAGATTCTGAGGATACATGACTTTAAAAAAGACATTACAGGGAGCAGCAGTTAGTGTAATGGCTATGTTGCTGGACTCCCATGTAGTCAACCACGGTTCAAGTCCCGGACCTGGTGGCTTAAACTCACGCTGGGCACATGTGTGTGTGTGCCCAAGATCTCGAAAGGAGAATGGAGGAGAAGGAATTGCGGCGTGGCCATCCTCCCTGGGGGGAGGGGGGATTTCTCACTTTCTGTCTTTCTGTCTCTCTCTTTCTGGCGAGCACACGCACCCTACAACAAAAACCTCCCCACCAAAAAAACCCCATGATATTATAGTCCCTGATCTCACATTTCAATTCAACATGATAAGAAGTATGTACAAAAAACATTGGCATCATTCTAGACTTTCCAAGGGTTAAAAAAGGACTTCACTGTATTTTGGAAAGGAATGGAGGTACTTATGGTTGGAACATATGTTAGGCGGAGAGGGAGACGAGTGGCTAGAGAAATATGTAGATAGAGGACAAGTCAACTTTGGGGTGAATAGGTCCGAACCATCTCGTAGGTAACTGTATCACTAAATGGCCTTACGTAGGCAAGTAAAATATTCAGACTTAAATTTTTAAGTCATCTTTCTGATGACAGTGTAAAAAATGGGTTACAGGATGTCAAAGGACCTGACAATTCAATAAAATAAAGTAACAAATACAGGCTAGTTCCATAGCCTACTGGTTAAGGAAGATGAATTCCAGAGGGCCAACTGTGTACAAAACCCAGTCTAGAGACTTAAAAAACACACCAGGAACGTGTGTGTGTGCGCGTGTGCTTGTGCACGGATATGTGCCCAGAACCCTGATAGGATGGAGAAATGCAAGAGATGGGATTGCGGTGCTGACTATGCCCTATTGGGAAGTGCTTTCTCCCTCTCTGTCTCTCTCTGGCAAGTGCATACAACCTCTGGCAATCTAAAAACATAAAACTACCAATAAAGCAAAAGTAACAACTATATGCTACCCACTATGCTAAGAGCTAAAGATAGAATTGAGAACCAGATTATCTTTGATCTCAGTAACTTTGGACCAAAAGGGGGGACCATTTTAGAAGTTGCTGTAAATATCCAGGTCAGAGCTTCTGTGGCCTAACTGAAGGAATGAATGCTAACAGTAATGGCCAATATTCATTAAGTACTTTGTGTCTCGCTCTGTTCCAACCACTTTACCTATGTTAGCTAAGGTAAGTAAACCTTATGTTGCATAGGTAAGTAAACCTATATAGAAAAATTAGTATTCTCACTTAACTTATTTAGCAATACTTATATCCACATACTTGGTTTTACTTATCAAATATTCTATATAAACATGTGAGCTTAAATTAAAAGAATTCAATTCTAGTGGAACCGGTTGCATGTAAGAAGCCAAGTGTAAGTACAGAATGTATTTTAAAAGATATAATATATAATATATACATATATTAATATACACATCTAGCCTATTTATATATCCCTACATACATATAATATCACACTTCACCCAATCCATCTAATTCAGATGACAGAAGAGCACAATTCAAACTCAGAAGATGCTTAGATGAACAAATTGGATGAAGAGCAGACCAAATGGTAACATCTAATTTTAGCTGTGTTTTAGAATCTGTCAGCTATCCTCATAGATCTCTGATGACTACGGAACAAACTACAGAGTTATTTCAAAGATTTAAATAGCACTACTTGTTTTTCCTATTAACCCAAACAAAAATTTAGAAAAGAAATGGTACGGTGTTCTATGGAATGGTGTTCTATGGAAATGTAAACTTATGAAATAGTTGTTGTTCTGTTCAGAATCATCTGGACATGATTTTAAAAAAGTATTTTTTATTTCATACCTGAATTTTCAAGATGCCAACCACCTGAGTGGTTGAAGGAGTAATTGTAAACTTCCACTCTGACCTCCAACGACCATTCCTTAAAAATAAAAACAGCAGCTGTAAATAGGTAGGGAAAATAATTTGAATCAATGTTACGTCTCGGATTAAATTTAATGCTACAGTATGAGTGTGTGGGTGCTGGACACTGATTTTCTAATCACTAAAATATGCAGAATAATGAAAAAGTTCAGTTATGAGATATTTAATTTTCAACCTACTGATAAAAAGGACATACACAGGGCTAGTCCAGTGCCCTAGTGGTTAAAGACATCCAGATCCTGCATGGCTAAATTTGAATACTGGCCCCAGTGGGTTGAAAAACATTCTGGGGACATGTGTGTGTGACCCAAATCCCTAGAGGATGGGAAATAGAGGAAGGATTATGAAATGACCATGACCCCACTGAGAGGTGCTTTCTTTTTTGTTTTTTGGTTTTTTTTGAGAGGTTTTTGCTATAGGGCGTGTACACTCTCCAGAGAGACAGAGAGATAGAAAATAAGAAATCGCCCCCCCAGGGGGGATTGGCCACGCCTCAATCCCTTCTCCTCCATTCTCCTCTTGGTATCTTGGGCACGCTCCTGGCATGAGTTTAAGCCACCAGGTCGGGGACCCAAACTGTGGTCGACTACATGTGAGTTCAGCAACATAGCCATTACGCCAACTGCTGGTCCCAAAACAATTCCTAAAAAAAGAATACTCTAAATAAATGTTCAATTTATCAGGGGCTTTTATAAATACAGTCTTTATAGTTTAACATCTACTGAACGAGATAAAGTACTGAATAATATAAAAAGAATGGCTAGTAAATGTTACATAGGACTAACCAGGAGGTTTGACATCTAAAAAAAGAGCTATTATAAATAGCAAAATACCAGATTTTACCCACCCCCGCCAATTTTAGGTAAAGTTTCCACATCCTTCTCCCCAGTCCTGAAATAATTTTTGTGTACAAGTCAATACATATTCATGGTAGAAAACAAAAATTACAAACAGGTATGTTATTCATTTTTGTCTACTAATGAACTTTATCCTATTTTTCTGTCTTTTCATACCGCTTCTTTTTAAAATGTTTTGCCTCTATTTGCTCTCTGCCCTTTAAAGATAGTCTTATACACAAATTAACAGTATTAGCTTTTTTTAATGGTATATATTTCTAAAATGGTCACAGTGTTAATGAATCATTATGCTGGCTTTTGCTACAAAGTTATTTCTGGGTTCCATTCAATATCCTTGCAGTTCACTCAGTCATAAAAGTCTACATAATGATAGTACTATCATATCTAAAGTTATCCCTTGACATCTGAAAACTATTATTAGAACAGCATATATGTTCTACAAAATGAAACAGAACTTTATAACATATCTGAATTATGAGACTCATCAGAGATTAATTATTCAGATTCTTGGTTGGAAAAAGAACTTAGACCTATGCATTTTTGTTTCATGATTCCAAAAGAAGTTATTCATTTGATTTAGTATTAGTCCCAGGAAACTAGTGAGTTCTAAGCATCTATATATTGCTGATTATTATGACAATATACATACATCACCACGGATTGTGAAGAGAAAAAAGCATTACTGTAATAACATTAAGTGACATTTAGCAGACAGTATCCTCTTATTAATGTATGAACAGTAAAGATGCCTCAGTTTTTGATATTTTTGCTCTCTCTTTCACTAGCCCTATAATTAGAAATGTGTATTCATTCAACAAATATTTAAGCCCTCAATATTGCAAGACACTGGGAAAACAAGAGAATTGAAAAAAAATTCTTCAGTGAAATCTAAGAAGCATCCCAACTAGTCTCTTCTGATTTTACTTCTATTTTAAGTGAACTGAAGTATATATTTCTTTGTATCAGAATATTTAGATTTTACTGAGATTAGTGACATGATATTCAGCACTTTGGAAAACCATATAAAATTGATCTTTTCTAGAAAGTGCAAATCATTTTTAACTTCAATAATACAGCATTCATAGTGGTGGTTTAAAAAATTCCTGGCTATGGAAAGTGAAATAGAAAACTCAAGGACAGACATTTTCTTATTTTATATATGCTAAAGCTCAAAGGAATTATATTTTTGAAAGCTAATTAGTAAATTTATTATGCCATCTCCAATACATCTTTTTTTTTTTTTTTTTTTGAGAGATTTTTGCTATAGGGCGCGTGCACTCGCCAGACAGACAAAGAGATAGAAAGTGAGAAATCACCCCAGGGGGGATGGCCACGCTGCAATCCCTTCTCTTCCATTCTCCTCTTGGGATCTTGGGCACGCACGCACACAAGCCACCGGGTCCGGGACTCGAACCGCGGTGGACTACGTGGGAATCCAGCGACATAGCCATTACGCTAACTGCTGGTATTACGCCAACTGCTGGTCCCAAAACAATTCCTAAAAAAAGAATACTCTAAATAAATGTTCAATTTATCAGGGGCTTTTATAAATACAGTCTTTATAGTTTAACATCTACTGAACGAGATAAAGTACTGAATAATATAAAAAGAATGGCTAGTAAATGTTACATAGGACTAACCAGGAGGTTTGACATCTAAAAAAAGAGCTATTATAAATAGCAAAATACCAGATTTTACCCACCCCCGCCAATTTTAGGTAAAGTTTCCACATCCTTCTCCCCAGTCCTGAAATAATTTTTGTGTACAAGTCAATACATATTCATGGTAGAAAACAAAAATTACAAACAGGTATGTTATTCATTTTTGTCTACTAATGAACTTTATCCTATTTTTCTGTCTTTTCATACCGCTTCTTTTTAAAATGTTTTGCCTCTATTTGCTCTCTGCCCTTTAAAGATAGTCTTATACACAAATTAACAGTATTAGCTTTTTTTAATGGTATATATTTCTAAAATGGTCACAGTGTTAATGAATCATTATGCTGGCTTTTGCTACAAAGTTATTTCTGGGTTCCATTCAATATCCTTGCAGTTCACTCAGTCATAAAAGTCTACATAATGATAGTACTATCATATCTAAAGTTATCCCTTGACATCTGAAAACTATTATTAGAACAGCATATATGTTCTACAAAATGAAACAGAACTTTATAACATATCTGAATTATGAGACTCATCAGAGATTAATTATTCAGATTCTTGGTTGGAAAAAGAACTTAGACCTATGCATTTTTGTTTCATGATTCCAAAAGAAGTTATTCATTTGATTTAGTATTAGTCCCAGGAAACTAGTGAGTTCTAAGCATCTATATATTGCTGATTATTATGACAATATACATACATCACCACGGATTGTGAAGAGAAAAAAGCATTACTGTAATAACATTAAGTGACATTTAGCAGACAGTATCCTCTTATTAATGTATGAACAGTAAAGATGCCTCAGTTTTTGATATTTTTGCTCTCTCTTTCACTAGCCCTATAATTAGAAATGTGTATTCATTCAACAAATATTTAAGCCCTCAATATTGCAAGACACTGGGAAAACAAGAGAATTGAAAAAAAATTCTTCAGTGAAATCTAAGAAGCATCCCAACTAGTCTCTTCTGATTTTACTTCTATTTTAAGTGAACTGAAGTATATATTTCTTTGTATCAGAATATTTAGATTTTACTGAGATTAGTGACATGATATTCAGCACTTTGGAAAACCATATAAAATTGATCTTTTCTAGAAAGTGCAAATCATTTTTAACTTCAATAATACAGCATTCATAGTGGTGGTTTAAAAAATTCCTGGCTATGGAAAGTGAAATAGAAAACTCAAGGACAGACATTTTCTTATTTTATATATGCTAAAGCTCAAAGGAATTATATTTTTGAAAGCTAATTAGTAAATTTATTATGCCATCTCCAATACATCTTTTTTTTTTTTTTTGAGAGATTTTTGCTATAGGGCGCGTGCACTCGCCAGACAGACAAAGAGATAGAAAGTGAGAAATCACCCCAGGGGGGATGGCCACGCTGCAATCCCTTCTCTTCCATTCTCCTCTTGGGATCTTGGGCACGCACGCACACGCCCAGCGTGAGTTTAAGCCACCAGGTCCGGGACTCGAACCGCGGTGGACTACGTGGGAATCCAGCGACATAGCCATTACGCTAACTGCTGGTCCCTCCAATACATCTTAAACTTGGTAACAAGAGTTTTCCTTAAATAGTTTATTTTCAACAGGAGTGATTTTATTATATATTTCATGGCACAAATAATGATAATTTCATGAAGATCTTGTAGTTTTAGGATTCTGGTAGAACAATAGGATAAAGTTTTTAGACTTAAAGTAGAGAAACTACATTTATATTACATTCATGAAAACTAACTTTGAACACCATAATCTTTAGGAAACTTTCAGTTTGTTATTAAGGCATATGTTTACACATGGAATTGATTTTTCTTTGGTGATGATAGATCTGCAATGCTTCAGATAGTCTTGGTTAACCTTGTAACCTTGCATTTATTTCTGAGATGGGTAAGCAGTGAAGCAACCTTGGGCCATGGACTAAACTGACTCATAGAGGTTACTGATATTTGTTATTTTATCCTCCATAGCACTATCAATCAACTCAGCTAAAAAAGTCAAAGACTAATACACTTAAAAGGTAAATATTATTACTGTACTTACTCTGATGATCTCAGCGAGTATTAACAAAAAAGGGGGATAAGGGTAAAGAGTTCATTCAATTCTGAACTTGTAAAGTCTTGGAGAATCTCAGAATTTTATAACTGGCATTATCTCAGAAATAGTCTTGTCTAAGAAGAGAAAGGACCAACAACTTGTCAAAAGTCCAAGATTAATAGGGCAAGTCAGAGCTTTTTGGGCTAAACTTTTTATAGGGAATAATGAAATGACTTGTACATAAAATGACAATCCATAATTTTAATTTTTCTTGTACAAAACACGTCAGTGGCTTTCTCACACTGGCCAACCAAGCACAAAACAATCCCCATAAAAACATCTATTTCAGAGTCCCCAAAGCTCACAGAAGAAACATGATTCTGTGCTTTATCCTCCTCCCCCATTATGAGTTTTGTTCAGAAACACTCCTCAGAATGAGCATATGGGCCTGCCAACTGGTTTGCTCACAAGCACACATGATCTGTGAGAATGTTGCTTGCTAGTCTCTAAAAACACCATGCTCTCCCACAATCTTTCAGTGAATGTCAACAGATGTACTGCTACCTTTAATGGCTAGGCTGATTATGGAGCAGATACATTTTTTATATCAAAGGCCAAAGTTTCATATATTGTTCTTAGTCACTCTTACACAAACAAGGTCATGTTCTGATCACTAAAACAAAAACTACAAAGAATACAGGGCCAGCCAGTGGCATGGTGGTTAGGGCAGCTAAATCCTGCATAGCCAACTTCATGGTTAGAGTCTCAGACCTGGTGGCTTGAAAAACATGCTGGATGCATGTGTCCAAAAAATCCTGAGAGCAGGAAGGATTGTGGTGTGCACTCTTCCTTTCTGTCTCTCCAGTAAACACATGTGCCCTATAGCAAAAAATAAATTAATTAAAAAAAAATTAATAGTGCTAACGGGAGGCATGGTGGTTACGGTGGCTGGATCCAACACGGCTGACTACACAGTCTGAGTCCTAGACCTGGTGGCTTGAAAAAAAACGCTGGGGGGGGCTGCAGTTAGAGTAATGGCTATGTCGCGGGACTCCCATGTAGTCGACCGTGGTTCGAGTCCCCGACCTGGTGGCTTAAAACGCACGCTGGGCGGGTGTGCGTGTGTGCCCAAGATCCTGAGAGGAGAATGGAGGAGAAGGGACTGCAGCATGGCCATCTCCCCTGGGGGGTGATTTCTCGCTTTCTGCCTGTCTCTCTCAGACTGTCTGTCTGTCTGGCGAGCGCATGCGCCCTATGGCAAAAACCTCTCCAAAAAACAAACAAACAAAATACAAAAAACCCTGGGCACATGTGCATGCATGCTCAAAATCCTGATAAGAAAACGGAGGAGAAGCAATTGTGTCATGGCCATCTTCCCTGTGAGGTGATTTCTCACCACTGCCCCAGCCCATCTCTCTCTGGAAAGTGCACACACCCTAAAGCAAAACTGGAAAAAAAAAATGAAAAGGAAGAAAGAACTATGAAGAATATTCCCAAACGTGCAAAATTTTAACTTACCAAAAATTTTTTGCTTGGAACTGATGGCTTTCTATGCATGCAATAATGGTTTGCTGTCCATCTATTTTTTTACCGTACACCTTATAGGCAAAAAAACAAGCACAAGAGTGAATTTAGAGCCACTGAATAGCTAACTTTAAGTATCTATAAAATATTAAAAATAGTACAACACTTTGGCAAGAACATATCAAAGAATACGAAGCAACATAGGCCATCATTTCAACATAGTAGATAGCAATACAATTTTTCTTAGAGAATCGAGAGTTCATAATTACTGAAGTGTAATTTATAGGGCAAATAGAATCTTACTCCAAAATATTCATAAACATCCTAGATATACAATCATGCTTTCATTCCAAAAAATATTAATATTTTAAACACACAGATATGTAAGAAAGCAGATAATTTATTTTAAACATATTGATATCAACCTCTTTTAAGGTTCATTCCTAACTTGTGATTATCCTTTTTGTTCACTTCAAAATATTAGGGGTTGCCAAGTCTCCAGTTATTTTGAAAAGTTTTGGGATTAGGGTAAAAGAGTTAATTTACTTTTAACTGAGAAAGGTCATTTAACTGAATGGCTGTGATGTATGGCAATGTTATTTCTCCTCCTGCCTATTGCTTAAACAGTAATGATGGACTAGTACCCTTAATCCTCCAAGAATAACAGAGAACTATCTATCTCAACTACTCTGTCCTGTTGTTGAATTATCCTTCCAAAATAATCCTAATCAGCAAGTTATAATTCAAAAAACATGTAAGGGGACTAGCAGGTGGTATAATGGTTATGTCGCTGGACTCTCACGTAGCTGACTGCAGTTTGAGTCCTGGACCTGGTGGCTTAAACTCATGCTGTGTGTGTGTGCGTGCATGCCCAAGATCCCAAGAGAACGGAGGAGAAGGGATTGTGGCATGGCCATCCCCCCTGGGGGGTGATTTCTCGCTTTCTATCTCTCTGCCTCTTCTCTCTGGTGAGCATAAGTATGCTATAGTAAAAACCTCTCAAAAAAAAAAAAGAAAAAAAAAAGAAAAAAAGAAAAAGAAAAAGAAAAAACATGAAAAACATGTAAGATATTTTAGTTTATGTTGCTGTATTTCTCAAATAATGATGGAGAGCTAGATACTTAAGCAGATCACATGAATTTCTGTCCTAATCAGGAAAAGTGTGAAAAAGAAATGGAGTGCTAATGGTAGTATTAGTAAGTGTTGCGAAGGCCACAAGATGGCACAGTGGTGGCGGAGCTGGATGCAATTGGCAGGGTCCTAGGTTTGTGTCCCAGTTCTTCCCCAAGTATGCCAGTCATGGCTCACATGTTGTTCATCCAAGCTGTGGATCACGGTGTGAGGACCTTGTTGAGGATGACTCACTCTCCTATGTCTCTCACAAAAAACATGAATGCATAAACTAAAAAATAAATAAATATATATATATATATGGGACAGCAGTTATAAGCTACAACGTATGGTCTTGTTAGGTTAGAGAAGTACACAGAGGCTAGTCAGGTTCAGAGGGCCTTGTAAACCATGCTCAGAAGCCTGGATTCTACTCTAAGTGCAATTTGGAAAATCTCTGAAGACTTTCAAACAAGAGATTTTCAAGACCTGATTGTATTTCAAAAGGTCACTGCCTATGGAAAAAGTCACTGGACACCAACTAGGCATGCTAAAATGCCTATGGGCTCAAATAAACATAGTGAGAGTCTTGGTGGGGGGGACCCAACAATAAAACAAAATAACACAGGCCAGCAGGTGGCATGGAGGTTAAGGCACAGGATACCACATGGCTGAGTGCATGGTTCAAGTTCTGGACCTCGCTGCTTGGAAAACATGCTGAGTGCATGTGGACACATGCACAAAATCTAAAGGAAGAATGGAGAAGAAGGGACTGTAATGTGACCATCCCCCTCAGGAGGGTGATTTCTCTCTCTCTTCCCTGCCTTTCCTCCTCCCCCAGTGCAAATGCCCTATAGCAAAAAACTGAAAACACAAGAAATATGACCATAAAACACACAAAGACATGATTTTACTTTTAAATAATTTTATTTGTTCTAAGATTTCTGTAACTTAATAAAAATAAATTTGAACTAAATGTATTGAGAAGAGTCATGAACATGAGATTAGAGAATCTCATCATATCACGCTCCTTTCATCAATATATCAGAATTCCCACTTGGAATTAATTAAAAGTACAACTATTTCTCTATTTTAAGTTATCATAACATATCTACGGGTGCATGGAAAAGTTATGACGTACTTTTTCATCGAAAATGCAAGTTATGACTTTTCTGATGGCCCAATATTTACTACGGAAAATTTATTACCGAAAATTTTGTTAAAAATTAGGAAACATTCTTAAACAAACATACTTTAAAAAAATCAGAGTGACAAGTTATAAAATGTTAGTTCTGTAAGTTACTGTAAATTTTAGTACCAAAGGAAAGAGCTGCTCACTGATGACTCACCGTGCAGACCCCGTTTGGGTAATGTTCTTTTACATAAGCTCGCAGAGCAGTTTCTACCGAAGTTCTCCAAGATTCAATTGCATTTTCTGCTTCATATGGTCTTGGATCAGTTGCTTCCTTTCTCAAGTGATCAAATTTGAAACAGATTCTGTTTTTTGGATCCAAAAACTTGCCATTTCCCAAGTCGCCATGTTCTGTTATCAATACCTTCCATGATGAAATAAATTTAGAAAACAAGGACTTAAAAAGGTATTCAAGGGCTGATATATGTAATACATATTTACCTAAGCCTTTTCCTTAAAATTATAAAACAATCCTATTCTAATTATAATGAATACATATAATACTTCAAATGAGCACAATACATACAATCACTGGAGCTACTCTTATTCAGCACAAATCAGATTTTCTCTCAATACATAACTTCTAATCTGTAGAAAAAATTATACCTTCTAAAACCTTTTTTTTTTTTTTGAGAACTCTAATGGCTTCCTGTTTCTAATCCCAGGTTCCAGTTTCTCAAACCAAGGAAGTGATCGATAGCCTTCAATAAACAGGGTGGATGGGACCAGTGGTTGACATAATGGCTATGTTGCTGAACTCCCATATAGTCGACCGTGGTTCGAGTCCCAGATCCAGTGCCTTAAACTCACACTGGGCGAGTGTGCATGCGTGCATGCCCAAGATTCCGAGAGGAGAATGGAGGAGAGGGGATTACGGGGTGGCCATCCCCGCTGCGGGGGGTGATTTCTTGCTTTCTGTCTCTCTTGCAAGCACTCATCCCCTATAGTGTAACTTCTCAAAAACAAACAAAAAAAATCAGGGTGGTTAAAAAATGATTTTCATCTAGTGAGATCCTCCTCAGTGTGTCTCACCTTACCCCTTGGGCCCATAATCTTATCTAAACTGTAGTACCTGCTGCTGCTATTTCTTCTCTTTCTTTTTTTTTTTTTTTAATTAAACTCATTCATTCATTCACTCTGTATATGTGTGTGAGACAGAGATAGAGAAAATACAGCACCTCCTCAGGGTTTCTGCACTGTGATCTGCCCACAGTTTCAGCCAGCTGGGATTATGGGCAATGTTGGAGTGCTCACTGAGGTCAGGATATAAACTGGTAACTAACCTTCTCATGGCGGTCTGCCTTGCAGAGTCTTATTTTACGGCTGTGGTACCATCTGGCCCTCATGTAAGTTTTTAACTTAAAAAATAATTAATACAAAATAAACTCTTTTGAAGTATATAGCTCTATGAACTTTAACAAAAATATAGATTCTTTTAAGCAATGCCAAAATTAAAATACAAAATAGTTCCATTTCCCTAAAAAAGTCCCTATATTATTCCTATATAGTAACATTCCCTTGCACTTACAACCACTGTGTTCTTCATCACTATGCAGTTTTGACTTTTCAAGAAAGCCATGTATTAATAAAGGGAATCAAATAGAACATAATCTTTTAAGACCGACTTATTTTAGGACCAGCGGTTAGCCTAATGGTTATGTCGCTGAACTCCCATGTAGCCGACCGTGGTTCGAGTCCTGGACCCGATGGCTTAAACTCACGGCAGGCGCATGTGTGTGCATGCCCAAGATCCCGAGAGGAGAATGGAGGAGAAGGGATTGTGGCCTGGCCAACCCTCTGGGGGGTAATTTCTCGCTTTCTATTTGTCTCTGTCTTTCTGGCGAGCGCACACGCCCTATAGTAAAAACCTCTCCAAAAAAAAAAAAAAAGACTGACTTGTTTCATTCAGCATAATGTCTTTCAGATTCATTTAAATTGTGACATGTATCAATATCTGCTTCCTTTTTATTGCTGAGTAGTATTCCATTGTATGAATTTACCATAGTTTATTTATCTACTAAAGGATATTGTGTGATGTCTATGTTTTGGTTTTTGCAAATAAAACTGCTATAACTATTCAACTAACTAAAAGAAACACTTTAAATTTGTGTGAAAGGGTAAGCAAGAAATCTTCCAGCTTTTACCACTGATAATAATATGCTTGAAAAAGAGTTTTGTTCCAGCATTCTCAACAAACATCTTGTGACAAAATTTAAAAAATACCATCTAAAGTTCCCTAAATCAGAACATGTAATTTCCATTACAGAAATGCACATTCCTCATTTATTAAAGGAAAGTCAACTTACCTTTAACTATGCTTTTTCTAAACTTTCAAAATTATTTTTAATTTTATACATTTAATCACTATAGCTTACCCAACATGAATACACTTCACACCAGTCCAGTTGAGGATACAAAACATGTTATCATCAACAGGTAATAATCCATTTCTGTATCTCATAAATGTTTTACCTATTTTTCTCCTTAATTTCTTTCAACTCTCCTCCTTCTCTCACCCTCTTCCCACATTGTCTCCAGTGTCCATAATCATTTTCAATGCTTCTATGTCCTCTAATCTTTCAGTTTCCACCATAGAGTGCAGAGAGTTGGTATATGTTAAGTGGAGACTTACAATATCTCTCCCTCACAGCCCGACTTGCCTCACTCAGCAGTAAATCTTCCATATTTGTCCATTTTCTATCAAATGCCAGGGTCTTGTTTTTTATAGGTGAGTAGTATTCCATAGAGTATATGTGCCATATTTTTCCAATCCATTTCTGTTCGTGAACATTTGGGTTGGTTCCATGTCTTAGCAAGAATGAATAACAGGGGGTGTGTGATTGGTCCAAGGTTATCTAGAGTCGCTAAAGCTGCTGGCACCCGCCCACTGGCTGGGGCCAGGAGGAAGCTGACTGGGTTGGTTTTAATCTGATAAATGCATGCATTCCCCCTTCATGGAGGGTGGTCAGCACCCGTCGGCAAGTATTAGCTTGCTTCTTCTTCTTTATACACTTAGAATTGACAGCTGTTTCTAACTAACTTCAAGTTTTATAAACATAACTAACTCATTTATATACATTTAAATTATACCATAAATTTTGCTATTTTGTGCTTTATTTTAAAATTTTTCCTCCTCATCTTCCTTCTCTTGCAACTTTCCAAACTTCTGACTCCTTACCTATATCAGGAGTTCCCTATCCCTTTGTTGTAAGTCATGCTAAACAAAGAATGTATCCCCTTCTATTTTTTTCACAGTCATAAAATCCTACATAAATATACACACATTTCTACATACATATATACATAGGGTTTTCTTGGTCATTATTTTATAAGAATGGAATGAAATTCACACAAACACTTTTTCTGCACCTGGCGTTTTTCAATAGAAACTTCTTAAATTACTCAAAGTCAACTATATACTTCTTACCATTCTTTTTAATAGTTGCATAGCATCCCATGATGTAACTTATATCAGTTTATTCTCTTGTTTTGGACGGGAGAAGGGCACATTAGAATGTATTGTTGTACATATATTTGCTTATACTGATGTTTTTATTACCAGTGAATGTTTTTTATTTCTATTGGATATATTCCCAGCAGTGGTGGTGGGAATAGCAGGCAAAAGGTTTATACATTTTAAATTTGTAATAAATAATAATGGGTCATCAGAAAAGTCATGACACATTTTTGAATATAAAGACATAGAAAAATATGTCATGCCTTTTCCATCCCAATAGATCACTTTTCAAAAATGGCTGTGACAAATCTACATTTCTACAAAGACTATCAGAATATGTCTCCCTCCATACCACCATCATCAATATGCATTATAGCTCACTTTCAGTCTGTAGGGTAGATAATTATTTTAATCACATTTCTCTGACTACTGATAGATCTAAACATCTCATGTTTGTAGGTCATCTGCTCTTGTGACCCAAATATCCTTACTATTTTTTTAATCTGGGTTGGCTTTCTTCAATTTTATTTTTTATGTTTTTGCTGCAGGGCACATATGCTTGCTGGAGAAAGACATTTAGAGAGACAGAGAGAAAGAAAGTGAGAAATCACCCCCTGGGGAAAGGAGGGTTGGCCATGCTGCCATCCCTTCTCCTTTCTCGTCTCAGAATTTGGAGCAAGAATACACGTTTGCCCAGCGTTGATTTTCAAGCCGCTGGGTTCAGGACCTGAACTGCAATTGGCCATGTGAGAATCCAGTGCCTTAATCACCACGTCATCTGCTGGTCCCTGGGTTGGCTTTTTTTCCTTCAAATTTATGAGTTAAGGTCTCTGTTTCATTCTACAGTTAAAAACATAGTATGAAGTAAAATTCCCACTTTTTAAAAAATGGTTTCTGGGTTTCCCGTCTTATTTAATAAAACTCTTATGTCTATATTGTACATACAGTCTTAGATTTTCTCCTAAAATTTTAGCCATTTCACAAATTTTTATCTGAAATTTCTTTCTTTATATTAGTATGAAACAGAGGCCTAAGTTAGGTTACTACTTGATGGAAACCGTTTAGCCATTATCTGCACATAAATTTTGAAATACTCTGGAACTAAATTCTATTCTACTTATTTATTTCATCTATTCCATTCACTTCACTAATGTGACTTTACATAGGTGGTACAACACCTTCTGCCACATATAAGGCAATTCTCTCACACTGTTCTTTTTCTACATTTTTCTTGGTTATTTCATGTATGTGTTTTTCATATAAACTTAATGAAAATATCACTGAAATAAAAAAATAAATTAGAAAACAAAACAAAACAAACAAAACAAACAAACAAACAAAAAAAGGGAACCAGCAGTTAGAGTAATGGCTATGTCGCTGGACTCCCATGTAGTTGACCGCGGTTTGCGTCCCGGATGTGGTGGCTTAAAACTCACGCCGGGTGCATGTGCGTGCGTGCCCAAGATCCCAAGAGGAGAATGGAGGAGAAGGGATTGCGGCCTGACCATCCCCCCTGGGGGGTGATTTCTCGCTTTCTATCTCTCTGTCTCTCTCTGTCTGGCTAGCACACGTGCCCTATAGTGAAAATCTCTCAAAAAAAAAAAAAAGAGTCTAATTCAAATAGCATCATATTCATATATTAATTTTTAAATGATTTAACTTTTTAAGAAAGTAACGTAACATGCCTTTCCATTATTCAGATTCTATTTTATGTGTTTCAAAAAGGCCACTGCTATTTTCTTCATAATCCTCTATGTCTTTCTTTTTCAAAAAACAAAAATCTGCTGCAGGGTGTGTGTGTCACCAGAGACAGATGGACAGAGAGAGAAGAGGAAGACAGCACTTCAAATGGAGTGTGGTCACACTGCAATCCTTTCTCCATCTCTTCATCCTGCTGGGTGTCTGGACATGCAGGCATATATACTTGGCATGTTTCTCAAGCCACCAGGGACAGGATTAGAATGATGAGGTTGGCCATATGGGATCTGGCTCGTTCAATCCCCAGGTCATATGCCAGCCCCAATTCTATGACTTTCTTTTTAAGCTTATTCCTAAATTGATGTAGTTATTACTATATTTTAAATGGAATTCCTTGCCCCAGCTTACCTCAGTCATTTCTCATTTTAGGTACTTTCCGCATCAGAGGACAGCTAATGAGTTTTATACACTTACTTTAAATTCAGCCATCTCATTAAATTATTTGATTAAATCTAGTTATCTTTCTATGGTTGGGGGGTGGTTTATATTACTAGATTGTCTTGGCATTCTTAAATACACAGAACACATTACTAAAAAGTTTTCTTCTCTAAGTTTAACAAGTTTTCATTCTCTTAACTTCCTACACCTCCATTTGTGATAAGTAATAACTGTGATGAGTATACACACCTAACTGATTTTTAACTTTAACTAAAATTGACTTAGTCCTTATAGTTTATAATTATTATTAATATTTTTAAAATAGACTACTGTATTTAAGAGGTTTTATTCTATCCTTGGAGGAACGGGAAATAGCTGCTGGATTTTCTAAATTCCTTTCATTATCTACATACATATCATAAAGTTTTTGATTTGTTGGTTAGGACTAACATATTGCCTTACATGATACTACTGTTGCATGCCTATAAGAAACAACTTTTTGGGGGGATGTATTTTTGAACTCTATTTGCAAATATCTTAGTTAAAGTTTTAAAATCTGCAGTGTCAAGGGCCAGCAGGTGGCATGGTGTTTAAGATGCTGGACTCCCACGTAGCGATCAGCAGTTCAAGTCCTGGACTTGGCAGATTAAAACTCATGTCAGGCATGCATGTGCATACACGCATGTGTGCCTAAAATCCTGAGAAGAAAATGGAGAAGGGATTGTGGCGTGGCCATTCGCCTAGGGTATGATTTCTCACTTTGTCTCTCCAGCAAGTGCACATGCCCCATAGCAAAAATCTCTCCATAAATACATAAACAAAAATAAAATAAAATCTATAGTTATACATGAAATTAGTATAAAGTTACTTTTCTGTTGTCTCTTTTTAGGTTTAAGTATTAAAATTAAGCTAGATTTGTAAAATCACCATGGAAGCTATACATTTTTGAAAGACCCAGTAATTTATAAAAATAATTCATCTCAACAAAATAATTGTCAGTGTGACTAGAAGTACGAAGGGATATAGCACAGTTTATAATAGTTAACATGAGAACAATAAAATATGAAACAGAAAAGAGCAAACAATAAAAATATCCCAAGAAAGAAATAAAATAAATTCAGGAGATTAACCATGAGACTATGTATTACATAATGAATAATGCCAAATTTAAATTTTGACATAATTAGCCATCAAGGACATTCTCTTATGTCCTTTTTTAAACCGCTTCCTCTTATGTTCTACCTATTTTATTCTTCATATTGTTTTATGAATTTATCCTTTTGTAAGCATGACAGAATTAAAATTAATGTTCAATCACCAGTAACTCTAAATTAAAAAAATAAATTGTGATCTTTCATTGGTTTTCTTAGTTTAGTAATTTTAACTAGCATTTTGTAAAGAAAAGTTTAGTAATTACTAAATGCTAAATTACTCACATGAAGAACTATAGAATTCCAGAGCAATCAAATTATGATATAAACTTACTAAAATATATATTCTAGATGTTGAATTAATATAGGATTGAAATTTTTCCCTATAAAAAAATAAGAAAGTAGATATAAAGCAATTATTTTCTAAAATCTTGAGCCAATTTCATCTGAGTATTTTTTTTAAAATTTTATTATTTTTAAATTATTTATTTAACTTTATTTATTCATTCATTCATTTTTATTTTGACCAGAGAGACACAGAGAGAGAGAGAGAGAAGGTGAGAAAGCAAGCCACTAGGTCCAGGATTCGAACTGTGGTCAGTCATGTGGGAGCATCCAGCACCTTAAACACCACGCCACCCGCTGGTCCCTCATCTGAGTATTTTTTTTTTTTTTTTGGAGAGGTTTTTGCTATAGGGCGCGTGCGCTCGCCAGACAGATAGAGAGAGACAGAGAGATAGAAAGCAGGAAATCACCCCCCAGGGGGGATGGCCACGCCGCAATCTCTTCTCCTCCATTCTCCTCTCGGGATCTTGGGCACGCACGCACACGCGCCCGGCGTGAGTTTAAGCCACGGGGTCCGGGACTCGAACTGCGGTCGACTACGTGGGAGTCCAGCGACATAGCCATTACGCTAACTGCTGGTCCCCCTCATCTGAGTATTTCTAAAAGGGAGTTTCTGCTCAAAAAAATTTTAGATCTCAACAAAAGAAATTAAATTTCAATTAGTTGCCCATAAGTGGCTATGATTAAAATCAATACATTCTGATATTTAAGTGTATCACAATTTTGCAGGAAACATAAGCTGTTATAAACAAAACAAAGAACAGCCAAATCCTGTTTTTATAGGAAACATACCTGATCTTCATAACCTTCAATTTTTACTGGCGTGAACTGGTCCAGGTTATACTGTGCAAAAGCACTAAAAAAGAAAAAGGCCAATTATTTAAAATTGAGTATTTACTGCTTTTAAAAAGTGACATTAGAACACTATAGACCTGCCAATAAAAAGTATTCTCCTACATTGCATATGACAAGACAAATCGGTAAACACAATTGGCCTTTTCATTTAAGATGCTAAAAGTAAGTTAGCTATTTATAAAATACATATCCAATTATTCAAATATAAATTTAGTATACTAGGAAATAAACTAATGCCATGGGAGATACAAAGAATAATCAGACAAATCCTATGATCAAAGGGTTCACAGTGAATAGGAGAAATAATGGATAAACATAATCATAACATGAAGTAAAAGTATCTTTAAAAAATTACAAATAAACCACCAAAGAGAACATATGTTTTAAAAATTACATTCTGCTGAGGCAAAAGTAAAATGATATAACAGGGGGAATTTAATCATGAATGGAATACTGAGAAAGAGTCTTGAAAAGTTGGGTAAGCTCTTGAAGAAATTGGAGGGAAAGGAAGAAAAGAGTATTTCAATCAGAGGGACCACTCACTATAAGCAAAATGCAAGAAAAGACAAATTAGGTCCACATACAGCACCAAACTCACTGCCAGGCACATAGCAGTTGTTTCAGTTATATTTAATGAGCTGAACTGAAAAGCCTTGAATGAAGGAATACTTACTTTATTTGGGAGGCAAAAGAGAGTCACAGAAACTTTTAGAACAGAGAGCAAAGAAGCACTTCTAAAGATTAATTCGGCAGCAGTGTTCATGACAAATTGGGCAGTGTAGCAACTAGAGCCTGAAAATTAGGCATTCACATTAAAACTGCTGTCTAATTAAGCAAGGAAATGGTGACAAGATGGATTCAAGAAAAACGCCTCTCTCTACTCTTACATGAATAAATAATAACACATTGCCAGGTAATTACATAAATATGTGAAAAATAAACTTTTACAGTACAAAAATTATCTACAAATTATATCAAGAGCATATTGTTTTTTATTAACTCGATAATCTAGGAAAGTACTGCCATGTAATAGAAAAAATATTGAGAATTTTAAGGTTTAGGACTCTCTCTCTCTCTAAACAGAAACTACTGATACCTGGAAACTTTTCAGATTACTATGACTATCCAGGATATTCCCTGAATTTTCAGGTATTAGCTTCTACATCTCCTCTAGAAAGAAATGTTTGGTTGAGTAAAGTATTACTGGTGAGTTAGAATTATACATGTAAAAACAGCAATGGAGATTTAAATTACTAGCTGTCAAATTCCTGACAGTGCATGTTCAAAAACATGGAGGTGAACTCAGATGTGCATGAAGGGGAGGGAAGAAAAAGAAGCTATTTATTACTGATTTTCTTAATTCATTAAAAAGGTAATTTTCCTAAGAATAGCCTCAACATAGCCAATTACCAACTTTTAAGTAATTTATCTCAAAAGTAGGTTTTTAAAATAAATCACTTAGAATTTATTTTCTAGTAAAGTCATTCTTTTTTTTGGAGAGGCTTTTGTTATAGGGTGCATGCGCTCTGCCAGGAAAACAGACAGAGACAGGGAAACAGAAAGTGAGGCACCACCCCGCCCCACACCAGGAGGATGGCCACACTGCAATCCCTTCTCTTCCATTCTTCTCTTGGGATCTTGGGCACGCACACACATGTGCCTGGCATGAGTTTAAGCCACTGGGTCCGGGACTTGAACCACGGCTGACTACATGGGAGTTCAGCGACACAGCCATTACGCCAACTGCTGGTCCTGTAAAGTCATTCTTAAATAATACATTTAATTTTAATACTATTTAACAAGTAATTTAGTCCCAAGTTTGATCAAAAGCCTTTTACTGCCCATGATACCAAACCCCATCCATCCTTCCAACCCCACTTGGAGGTGGGAGGTAGAAGAAGAACAGAAAAATTGAAAAGGAGATAATGACTATAAAATAGGTAAAATGTTACCTTAAATGCTTAAAGTGAGTTAAATGGTGACAATTTCACAATACTGATATAGGAGTCAGACTATCTGCGTTTTGTTCTAACCCTATCATTAGCTAGTACAGCTAATCTTACCCATAAAACAGTGGTCTGGATAATCCTTTCACTTCAGAAAACTCACTCCATGCACCCACTCTTCATTTACTCATCCACCTCTCCATGCACACAAATATTTACTGAGCTCTTGCCTATCATGTGCTAAGCACCCTACTGACACAAGAAAAGCAATGATCTCCCCACCCTTGTTTAGTTCCATGGCCCAAGCATCCACTTCCGGATCTCTTGTTCCTGTATTCAGATTTCTACACCATTACTATAATCAGTCACCAAAATCACATCCTAACACACTATGGGTGAGTGGTTCAAGTCCTGGACCTGGCTGCTTGAAAAACACCCTGGGTGGTGTGCATGCATGCCCAAAATCCCAAAAGGAGAATGGAGATGGGACTGCAATGTGACCATTCCTCATAGGGGGTGCTTTTTCACCCTCCACTCTCTCTGTCTTTCTCTGGTGAGCACACATTCTCTCTAGCAAATTGAAAATGAATAAATAAGTAAATAAATAACTAACAAAACCTTCTTTTGGGCTCCCAAACTCTTTGGTATGATATGTCTCTATTATTACATTTTATCTCACTTGGTCTGATATTAAACATGTCTGAAAACCCACTGGAAAAATTTCAAACAGGTTTATGTGTCTCATCATCATAGTATAAAGGAACACCACTGAAGAAGAAACAACATGTGGCCATATGCTTATTCTCGTGAAACTGCCACTAGACACATTCTAAAAGTTTTAATGATGCCTTCTAAATTTATGCTATCTAGTTTTAGCCTACATGATAAGTGACAAATCATTTTATTAGAAAAAATCCAAATCTGGATATTTAAAAAATACTAAAATGGAACCAAGCAGGGCAAACAGCAGAATAACACAGTTTTGTTCAGAAATTATTTCACAGAGAGGATACTGTGAAGAATGTCATTCAAAAGCCAATCACTGATGGACAGTCTATCTCTGCACTTCACAGACACCCTCGGATGCCTACAAAATGAACTCAAATGAACTTTTAAGAAACTGTGTGTGAAGATTACTGACATCAATAAAATTACCAGTATTTCATCAAGGTGGCAAAGCAAGGTGGCATAACCATGTGCAAGGAAATCTCAAGTTTTTAATGAAGGTTTTGATTTTTTTTCCTTTGGGGCATAATAAAAACATTGTATTTTATTTTACCACTGTTACTGATTTCCTTGAAAACTCATATCCTTAAAAGAGCAGATATTGTATATTTCCTATTTCAATGTACCTATATCATAAAGTATATAGCACAGCTGCCCCAAATATGCAGTTTACAATGTAGGAGAAATACAGCTAATTTCAAACTTCTTTTAGGAAAAAAAATTCAATTTATTTAAATTAAGTATAATAATCATTATCGAATAAATACTTTGGATATATACAATTACAAATTTTTATTTATCTTCTGCCAAATGTATGAGCACTTTGTACCTCTTATATTTATCTGATTTTCATTTATTTTATTATAAAAAACCATTCTTTAATTAATTCAAGCTTTTCATTTTCTTTACTTAAAAAATACCCACTACTTTTTACACCTAAATGAAACAACTCCACAACTTATTTAACAGGGAACTAAGAGGAAAAGTTTATTTTGAAAGTACTGCTGTTAAAAGTTAATAAATACTGTATGTTTTCTTTGTAACTACAAAACTTTTGTGACCATGCTCTGTCCTATTATAGAGAAAATTGATATTGAATATACAAAAAAATTTCAGTAAGACTTAAAGAACTGAGGTGTAAGTAGACATTCACTCAGATACTGGTAGAAAAATCAAGGTATAAACTAAACTAATTTCTATAAAGCACTTTTAATTAACCGGGGGAAGCAACCCAAGTGTCCACTGACAGTTGAATAGGTAAAGAAAATGTGGTATACATATACATTGGAATATTATTCAGCCTTTCTATTAAAAAAAAGAGAAAATTCTGGTACATGCTACAATGTAGATCAACCTTGAAGTTATTACAGTAAGAAAAACAAGCTAGTCACAAAAAGACTAATGCTAATATGATTTCACTTACATGAAGTATATAAAGTAGTCAAATTCATAGAAAGTAGAATGGATGATGGTTGCTAGGGGATGAGGGTAAAAGGGGAATTATTACAAGTATTTGGGAAGATGAAAAAAGTTGTGAAAGTAGATGGTGGCTACAGTTACACAACTATGTACTTAAAGCCATTGAATTAATACTTCCTGATTAAAATGATAAATTTTATTTTTCTAAAATAAAAACAATAAAAAATAAACAAGAATTTTAATAGATGCAAAATATGCCCAGAAGTCTATTGAACGTCACCTTCGTTAGGGTTAACAAAAAAGATCAGATTTTTAAAATAAAGCCTTCAAATGTTACAAAAATGGAACTAGAGAAAACTTTCCTCCATCACAATTTCACACACTGGATGGTATGACAGTATGAAAAGTACCTGACTGAATGGACAATGAATGTTTTTGAAAGACACTAAAAGTATTACAAGTGCATTGTTTTTAGATGAGTAATAAAACTGGTTTGCCCTAAAAGACAAGTTTTGGGGGCCAGCATGTAGTATGGTGGTTAAGGTGCTAGACTCCCACATGGCCAACAACGGTTTGAGTACTGGACCTCGCGGCTTGAAAACTACATGTGAGAAGTATGTGAGAGCATGCCCAAAATCCTGAGAGGGGATTGGAGGAAAAATGATTGTGGTGTGGCCATCCGCCTAGGGCTTGATATCTCACTCTCCCCTTCTCTGTATCTCTTCAGTAAGTGCACACACCCTACGGCAAAAAAAAAAAAAAAAGTTCCCAGACCTTATTTTGGGAGGGGGAAATGGAAGAAAATCAGTTACTGCTATAAAATCCTAGGACAGTTGTAAGAAGTTATTGCTATATGGTCACTGGCCCAAAGATGATGTATTATTTGGAACTGACTACTTCTCTGACTCACTCAAAAATTCAGTAAACATTTATATAGTAGGTATTATGTTAGGTATTTATGGATGAGCAAAATAAACAACACTCAAAGATCACAAAGTCAAACATATAATAAAAAGTAAAATCTACATAAAAATAAAGGCAATCACAATTTCAGAAATAATTTTATCCAACTTTCCAAATGTCAAAATGTAGAATTAACTGAGTATATAAGCCACCACAAAACACACAACAAATAGAGAAGTTCAAGTTAGAGAGGTCCCTTTAAGTTCCTTTGTGATCAACATATCTCTTCCAGTCGAATGTGTATATATAATTATATATATATATTTGACCTTGATGTGCAAATATTCAAGCCAGGGATTAGCGCTTAAAAATCATTTTTAAAACAGTTTTTACTTCCTACATCATTTTAGTTGTTACTTTAATATAAATACTTACTGGGCTGCTCCTTCCCTGAGAAGATTATCATTATTAAGCAGTAACCGAACATCTGTAAAACAAATATTATTATTGTTCTACATTTGAAGAAGGTAGTGAACGCAGATTGTTTGGGCGCTGTATATTCTGAACCCCAAATACAAGATAAAATATTACCGACCAAAAATAACCACAAAGACACCACAGTTATTAAAAAAAAAAAAAAAAGATTTCTGTTAGGAAAAAGGGAACTAAATACAAATAAACACCATTTCATACCCTTAGTAGTCACTGCAGATAAAATGTAATGTTTTTCCAAAGAACTAAAGTGGAAATAACCTACACTAGACAGTGATCTAAGATCTGCAGAAAAGATTTTATCTCTGTTTGATATAATCTTTTCCCCATGAATTTGGCCTAAATAAAAAGCAATTTAACAAGAAATAGTTTGTGAGCAGTCTAGTGATATAGGGATATTTCTGTCCTTACCTAATGTTCAACCAACAGATAAAGAATTCTGCTTTATTTCACATAATGCTCTCACTTAGGTTTATTCTCTCACTTCTAATTCTCGTATAAACATTTGGCTGTTCATCATTAAGACATGACCTCCAAAATAACTTTTTCCTGAAACCTAACCCCAGTCAGAATGTCTAAGATTAAAAAAACAAAAAATGGTTAAGTGTTGGTGGGGGTGTGGTAAAAAGGGGACGCTCTTACACTGCTGGTGGGAGCGTAAATTAGTCCAGTCACTGTGGAGAGTAATTTGGAGATTCCTCAAAAATCTACAAATAGAACTACCATATGATCCATCAATCCCACTCCTTGGTATCTACCCAGAGGACAGAAGAATTCTTAATTGGAAAAGTGCTTGCACATCGATGTTTATTGTGGCATTATTCACAATTGCTAAGACATGGAACCAACCCAAATGCCCCCAAACAGATGAATGGATTGAAAAACTGTGCCACATATACTCTATAGAATACTATCCAGCCATAAAAAAGCAAAACCCTGGATTGTGACAGAAAGTGGAAGAATATGGAAGATTTACTGCTGAGTGAAGCAAGCCAGGCTATGAAGGAGAGACATTTTATGTCCCCACTTAATATATACTGAGTGTCATCACTCTATGACTGAAACTGATCGACTGAAGGATATACAAACACAGTAAATGAGTATAAATACCACATATAGTGTGTGTGCAAGAGTAGGGCCTGAGGAAGGACATTTAGAAGAAAAATATAAAGGCAAAGCATTAATGGCACAAAGAAATGTGGTTTTATCTGTTGAAGATATTTTAGTTTTATCAACTGGACTAGGGAGAAATGTTCGCATACTGAAGTATTCACTATAAGCTAAACAATGTGCTTGGATGTATAAAAGAAAATGAAATAAATAAAAAAAATAAAAAAAGAAAGTTGAAATTAAAAGTTCATTTTATTGAAAATTGGTTTTATTAAAATCTAAGCATTTTGTAAAACATAAAGTAAAAAAAATACATCATTTCACCCAAAATAATTCTGTTCTAATATTGCTGTATTTTCTTTCATTATTTTTCCTAAGCACTTACTATTTTACATAGTTGCTAATATAAAGTACATGAAACGATGTATCATAATTTTTTCATTACATTAAAAATAACACAAATAATTATCTCCCATTAAGAAATTGGTTAAATATAAATAGACTGCAGTTCTTCTACAGTGTAAAACGGGGGGTAGCCATTAAAAATAAACTAGGTATTTACTTATTAATGCGAAAATACATTCATAATATAAAACACAAAAAGAGGAAAGATCAGCAAGAATAATGTTATCATATTTATGTACTATTACAGTTTATATGTGTGTCAATTGAGAGCTCCTGGAAGTAGTTCAAATAGCAGGAAACGAGAAGGTAGAATTTCACGTGATTTTTAGATTTTTCTCGTGTTTGAAAATTTTAGAATGATGAATCATCTTTACAAAAATAATAAAGTCACTTCAAAAGAAAAAATTGCCTATTCACATACCTCTTTTTGGTAACAGCCCTCAATTAAAAAAAAAAAAAAAAGCTCTTTGCTAGCCACTAAAAAAACACAAATCTTTTTTCAAAAT